TGTGGTGAAAGTGGATGTGTGTAACGTCCAAAAGGAATCGTTTCCGACCCCATAAAGTATATATATTCTTGATCAGCATCAATAGCCGAGTCGAGTGAGCCATGTCTGTCTGTCCGTCTGTCCGTCCCCTTCAGCGCCTAGTGCTCAAAGACTATAAGAGCTAGAGCAACGATGTTTTGGATCCAGACTTCTGTGATATGTCACTGCTACAAAAATATTTCAAAGCTTTGCCCCGCCCACTTCCGCCCCCACAAAGGGCGAAAATCTGTGGCATCCACAATTTCGACGATACGAGAAAACTAAAAACGCAGAATCGTAGAGGATGACTATATCTTACAGAGAGCAAAATCTGAATAAGATCGTATAATTATTATAGCCAGAATCACGAAAACAATTTCACTCTTTCTCGCTCTGTCTCACTCTAACACACAGGTTTCATGGTCGGTTTAGCCAATTGCAAAATATGAGTTCAAGGATCTCAGAACCCATAAGAGCTAGAGCAACCAAATTTGGTATCCACACTCCTGTGATATTTGACCTTGTCAAAATTTCGCCGCACCCCCTTCCGCCCCCGCAAAGGACGAAAATCTGGGGCAACCACAAATCTCAGAGACTATTAAGGCTAGAGTAAGCAAATTTGGTATCCGCACTTCTGTTAGATCTCACTATAAAACGTATATCTCAGAATTTCGCCCCACCCCCTTCCGCCCCACAAAGGACGAGAATCTGTTGCATCCACAATATTGCAGATTCGAGAAAACTAAAAACGCAGAATCATAGAGAATGACCATATCTATCAGATTGCTGAGTCCGGATCAGATCAGATAATTTTTATAGCCAAAAGGAACAAATCAATTTGCATTGGCTACGCAGCGCCCGACGTCACGCACAGATTGATTTTCTGTCTCTCTCGCACGCACTCTTCGTCGTGTCGTTTTTTATTAGCGGCGTCTGCCGGAGGAGAGCCATACTGACTTAGTATCGGGTATAACTGTAGAGTTGCGGTGTCCGCAGCAACTTACAACGTTCCCCCTCGTTTTTGTTTATATTCTGTTTCAAAATTTGAATTTCACATAACATATGCGTGAGCCCAACGCGATAGGTTTTTGATAAATATTCTCTGTTCTGGTGTGTTCGGATGTCGGGCCTCGGGGCTGATAAGTAGCTACCATTTTTTAATGTCAGTTTTTTGTTGGACGCTTGCCACAAAGTTAATGAACTTTCCCTTGCCCCCAGAATATGCCACACAGGCGCACACACCTAGTCTGTTCCCCCCCGCAATCCCCCTTTCCATGGAGCTCTCGAGACTATTTATTGTAGATGACTTTGGGCGAAAAGTTTTGCATTTAACTGCAAATGGGGTGTGTCTGCCTGCGTGTGTTTTTATGTGTGTGCGCAGCTCCAACAATATTAATTTGAATTGCAATCCAAACAATAGAGAACTGTGAGATTTTGAGAACCGAAGCTTGAGACACTCTTGCAGTTTGATTGACTTCTATGATGATACATATGTATGTACATTGAAACTGATTGAAAGGTAAGAATAAACACATAAACTAATATCCTTATGGGTTATAGCTTTTTGATATAGTTATCCGACCTATAAGGAATAAGAACTCTAACGTGGTTTGTTCGAGCGTTGTAAGCAGGGCTCGAAAAATATGGTATTACTTTGCAAGCAGTCATAAAAAAATCTGTTGCCCGTGGACCCGATTAAAAACGGAATCGAAACGATACGTCGAATTCGTTTGTTCTCAATGCGCTCTTTGATCAACCAATGAGAGTATTTTGTCGCTCTCTTTTTGCTCATGAGGCACTTCGTTGAGCAAAATTTTCCAAAAGTCCTTTCACCCTTCCTCATCTACGCTTTACCTGCGATTTACAGGCAAATAGAAAAGCAACAACGAAAACCTAATGCAACTAACATACACCTAGTGCTTCCACTTGGCTCGTTTTGCTCAGCTGCTGATAACCGAACGACACTCTTCGAAAGAGAGCTTCAACAGAGAGAGCGAGTCTGGGTAGATTTTCTCAGTCCTTTCGGTGAGCAGACAGCATAGAAAGCATGTTTTTCGTGCTATGGTTCTAAGTATTCGAATTTATTTACTTTTCCAGAGCGGTACAATATCTATTCCAGAGATGGTAGTGCAACTACTCGTTTCATTGCTCTTAAATGTTGAATAACAATTGAAAGGAATGAAAAGTTTTTTAAGAATTAAATCATTTTTAGACAACAGATTTGATAGGAATTTGAAAATTGTAAATTACTCTAAGCAAATGGGCCCCGTTTGCTCGTTGGACAATCGTACAACTTTTTATGAAATACTTATCTTTTATAAATACTTATCTCTTTTCGTTGCAAACATAGAAATCATAATATCCTTTGCAAGGGCATAGCAAGTGTGCATAATAGACACACGGATGGTGATGGTGATGGTGGGAGAGAGGGAGCAGATTGTGGCTGCCCTTTAAGCGACTTTTGCTCGAGGAATTCAGTTAAAAAGTAAACCAATCCAAAGCCCAAATGGGCTGAAAGTTTAGCGTCACGCACACGCACAGGCACACACTAATGCGGCCATGGAACAACAAAACCCTGCGCCGGTGACCCAGGGCACTGAGGTGCCCCCCAACCATGTCGTTCCACTAATGTCTGGCAAACTGATCTCCGTTCCTCTCAGTGCCTCGGTCAAGTTGCAGTTAGTTAGTGAGCGTCACACTCGCGAACTGGTCCATCAAGTGCACAGTGCCATCAGTCAATCCTAATAGCTCCGGTAAAACTATTCACATTTTGCATAATTCATTAACATCAACATGGGCTGTCTCAAAAGCTATCCATCGGGGAAATTCGTCCACCTTAAATGTTTTATCGTTGCAAAGAACCAAAGGTCAGGTGGTGAACCCTTTAGTCAAAAGTACTTTACTTTTGAAAGGTGGTTTTCAATGAGTTTTCATTAAATTACTAGTATCTTAAGTTCGTAACTCTTTTTATTTTCCAAGACGGTTTGACCTTCTCGGAAATGATTCCATTCCACTAAAGCTTGGAGCTTTTCTTAAGCATAATATCTGTTGAGCCAATAGTACAGATTCTTGTGTGGATGCGAATGCAATTATATTCTTAATTCCCGATGAGAAATCTTTCCTTTGCTGCTTGCCGCGATTCGAGGACAAGATGACAATGCTCTATACATGTATGCATATATGCGTTAGGTGCGAAACGTGCAGCTACTTAGGTTAGGTTAGGTTAACCCAGACGGCCCTCAACGGGGCCACGCATTGGCCGGTATGGCCCTTAGTTATCCGGATAGTGGGGGGAGATGTCAACAAATACTCTGAATACTGAAGAGCGTTCTCGATGGTGACTACTAACGAGTGTAGTGCCGTCTCCACCGATTCCTTTGGTGTAGGCATGTTGGTTGACATCAGTTGACATCAGTCCCCCTACCACACTCCTGATGGGCAAATCCTACAGCTTTTTCAGTGTTTTTAGTAGAAAGAAGGTAAGGCTTATCGGTCTGTAATCCTTGGGACTCACATGGCTGCACTTTCCTGACTTTGGGAGGGACACAACTCTCGAGGTCGTCCATGGGATAAGGATATAGCCTGTACTCAGACATGCTGAGTATATTGCGGAAAGCCATGAGATAAAGCTCCTTTGGTCACCTGCAACAAGGCTGGGAAGGTCCCGTCTAGTTCTGGTGCTTTTTTTCCCGCAAAGGAGCGTACAGCCCAGTGGATTCAAAACATCGTTGCTCTAGGTCTTATAGTCTTTGAGCACTAGGCGCTAATTGGGACGGACAGACAGACAGGGCTCAATCGACTCGGCTATTGATGATAATCAAGAATATATATACTTCATGGATTCGGAAACGCCTTCTGCTGGCCGTTACACAAATCAATTTGTACCACAAATCTAATATAGCCCGATACTCAAAATGAGTATAATAAATAATAATAAATAATAAATATTAACAGACCTAGTACACTAGGAGCCACCTTAGTGGGACTTCCCTTCTAGATGGGGATCCACTAATCATATGATAGACAATACCCCTTTATGGGACTTTACAGGTTGCACACTGCACACTGCACCTGCACACAGGTTACAATAACACCATGGAACCACTGCAAATCCCATAACCAAGACTGTGAGATCTGACGCATTCCCGAGAAATTTAGGTACGCCTCTGGCCTCTATCCATGTCCATATAAACAAAAAATACATACATATGTAAATATTGATATTTTCCGCAGCTTTGCGGAGAACAAGTTGGGCAGATCCCAACACTGATGAAGCCCCTACCAGGAATAGCCTCACAACTGTAGTTTATATCTACGTATCTATTAGCTAATCAAGTTAATACTACTTTAAAAAGTTGAACGCAATGTTAATTTAGTTGGAGTATTTGTTAAATTTTATTTAATTTATATAAACGTTATACAAATTATATCAGCAGATAGTCCAAGTCCAGATTTCCCATCGCGCCGGTCCTAACTTTGTCTTCAATAACAAGTTTGGCCTGGACTGTCGCTGCATTGGCTTCACCAGCCAGCTGAGGATGAAGTCGAAATGTCCAATTCCAATTCCATAAAGATGTGGACACCCGCCGACTATGCCAATAGCGCTTGAACTTGAACTAACTTGAATTTCTCGGCAAGTAATCACCCATCTGTGGAAAGAGCAAAGGTTTTCAGAGCATATGTAGACTTCAACAGCAGTGAAGCTTATTGTGGAGAATATAAAAGGGTAACAGAGCAGCCACAGCCAGGTAAAAGAGAGGTAAAAGGAGCAGTTCAGCTGTTACAAAAGACATCATAGGAGCTTCCAGCTCCCACACCCATATGTTAATGTCGACTTCCCTAAGAATTTGTCTAAATGTAGATAGTCGACCACACTGTAGAAGGATAAGAGACAGCAGGACTGCAGCGTGGGAACATTTAAAATATCTTACGCCCACATCGTATGTAGGCGTTACATCGGCCACCAAAACTTTTTGGGATTTTTTAAGTTACACAGTAGCCCGCTTCATTTCAGTCAGTAGGTTGTGCCTTGGTTTTTAGTTCTGCTTTACATATTTAGCAGGTGCAGCAATGTGTGGAACGCAACTTCGTCCTGGTGCTACGATCGGCAAATCCTTCGAATTCAATTAAGAAAATGTTCAGCGCCTGCAAGTGGTTTGTAGTGGAAGTGTTCATTTACCTTGTACAAAGAAAGATGGTTATTACTCAGAACTCTGCAGGTCCATTCCACTTTAAATGGAATTTCTCAGCCAGCGTTTGCTCTTGCTGCTGCTCGTAGAAGATAATGGAATCCCCACCTATGGATATGTGAGTATTTGTGAATAAAGTGTCAACCTCGATCTATGATGATCGATGGGACCACTGCCCCCAATGGTACGCCAGCAACGATTCTTCTGATACTTCGGACCCGCAGCCACCGCCTCGACTAATAAGAACAATTTGCAAAGGCCGAGCCGGTGTACACAACGGTGACGACTGATGATCTGGCCATAATCGTATGGGACAATGTGACAAGTAAGCAAGAAAAGCTATGCGCCTAATTCGAACTAAAGTAAAATATAAAAATAAATAAAATTGCGAGAACGCTGATTATGTTATTTATTGTTCTATTAATCTGTTAATTTGGATTTCTAAAATTGATTTGTAATTCTGTTAATCTAGATCGATGTCAATCAATTGCATTTGTGGATGATCAATGGCCTTATGGGCGATTGAGTTTCGGTGTTAAAGACCCCATTCAAAGCGATTTCGATTTAATCTTGGATTGGATTTAGTTTTCTAACTTTCCTTGAAGAAATCCAATATTATTTAATCAGCCAAAATATCTTCAACGGCTCAGGTATTCTGTAAGTTTCTTTTCTTTCGATGCCCACACAATAATACGATATACTAATATGCGCAGTTGCAGTTCAGTTGGCCCATGTTCAACCTAGCTCTACGGAGAAAGTCCAAGATACAGTCTTTTGTATTGGCGCTGTACAATGCGCCAAACGAAAAAAAGGTTTAAGCTAGGATCTACATAAACTAACTTACTACAATGTCCGCTTAAAACTAACGGTACAATAACACGGGAAGAGGATACGATGATCCCCATTTGTCAGGCGACATCTTAATTGCTGTCCACCGCTTTCGTAGGCGTTCGCGGTGTCAGCGGCGTGGCCACCGGAGGCGGCGATACATCGCTTGGCCCCGACACTGTCGCCGTCTCGTCTGGTGCAACGCTGCTGCTGAACTGAACGCTGAAGAAACGGAGCAGCGTCATCTGACTGTTCCGGCGGCTGGGAGTGGGTGTGCTGAGGTATGGTTTTGCTTGATCCGCCCGCACCACCTGCAGCATCAGTGTGCGAGATGCGGCGCCGGGGAGTGGCCTTTAAGCGGGGACTACACTGAAACAGGCGCAGGCACTAGAGAAGCATTCATCAGCTTTTGCTTGCGCTTAGGCGACAGGATGGCCAGATGCAGTGCCTGCCCGTACAGCACGTAGTTGGGCAGGTTCGAGGTGGGCGAGTAGATCATAGAGGAGAGGGGCTGCTGGCCAGCTCCCCCAGAGGCAGCTGTTGCCGACGCCGATGTGGTTGACATTCTCTCTCAGCCGCGAGTGGACCGTTGAGGCTTAGCAGCTTGGTCACCAGGGAAATATCATCAGCGGCGACGTTTTACTTTTGCCTTTTGCTGGGCGATGCCTCTTCCTCGCCAATCGCCGGCAGCTAAATGTGCCTGCAGGTGGACTCTGGGCTGGGCGGCTCGAAGAGTCGCCTTTCACGGGATTCCAGGGGCTTGGGGCGCTTCTGCGGGTTCTGGTCTATCAGGTGCTTTAGCGAGCGTGCCGCAAACTTCAGATCCCTCAGGTTGTACTTTTGTTTGCCGGTGGCCAGAGCCGTGCTCGCGGGGCCGCGACACTTGTCCGCCCTTTCGGCCTCACTGAGACCCTGCAGATCGGGTTCCACGCGCCAGCCGTAGGAGGATCCCCAGGCGATCCCCGCAGGTCACCTCGACCGTGTGGCCCGACAGTGCCACCTCTACATGCTCCAGGTTCTAGATGTACGGCCGCTCGTCACTGCTGCCACTCAAAAGGTACTTTTCATCCGGACTCAGGCGGGACCTTATGTAGAAGGTGGAATTCAGCAGACCCTTTTAGCAGGCCAGCGACTAGGGGTAGTACGACAGCAGATTGTAGCTGTAAATCGTTTTGTCCACACAGTTGGCAAAGAGTCGCGGCCGAGTGGCCGACACAAGGCAGCTTGTGCATGAGCAGCGGCTCCTTCCTAAAGCCGATTCCACACCTTGATCACGCCGTCGCAAGCGCCACAGGATATCAGTGTGTTGTCGTCCTGGAAGGCCAATCCCCAGATGCTGCTCGAGGTTGCGATTAAGGAGATCTGGGGCGTACGAAAGCGCCGCTTTCGCTGCGAAACAAGAGTGCTCGGACCCGAGTGTGGCCGATGTTGATCCAGTTGTCCACACGAGGAGTCAGATCCATGTTGAGATTGACGAAAAAATAGTACAGGGCAATGACAACAAATTCAGTTATTACATTTTTCTAGAGATTTTTAATTTGTGTTTCGGGCCGAATCAAAATTCAGAAATACTGTACAAATTTTCCCATACTGTCCCTGAGAAAACAAACAAATTCACATCCGATCAGATTATGAAGTGCTTCAACTAAGAATAAACATTGCTGTGTATTTGCCATCTCATTCTTAATAAGACTTAAAAACTAGTTAGAAATTTTAATTGTTGGCTTTCTGATTCAATGCGCTTAGACCTGCTTTGTTTAGGGGCTCTGAGAAATTGTGTACATTTGTCAATCTTCTGGATGACGACATCCAATACTCGGGATGATGAAATTCAATCGGAGTGTTTACAGAAAATTATTCCCGGAAGGGATTCACGATGCAGAAAGCGAAAAGTTCAAATCAGTCTAGATCCAGAAGCTCTTTGTCCGGAACATTTTAAGCATTGAATTTAGGACTATATCTGTGAAACTAAATTTTAATAGAATTTTAGCCCAACGTGGTGCGACGCTATATAAAATGCACTGAAAGGAAAAAGTCGTGCCGAAACCCGAAGGACAATTAATTAATGTAATAAATTCTTCAATCAAACGCGGAGTGATTGTGAGATACGAGTATAAGACAAGAAAAAGTAAGGCAAAGAAAACAGGAACAAAACTCAAGAAAAATGACCGCAAATTAAAAATTACCAACCAAACTTAAAAAGAAAGACCCCAACGGAAAATGTACCAACCAAACTTAAGAGGGCAGGCCCCAAAGGAAGATTTAAAACCACAAACTTAAGAAAAACGACCCTTTCCGGATAGTTAGTGAGCAACCATAATTTTAAAAATAAAAAGTTAAAAGGGAAAATTAAAGTGTTAATACTAAGTATATAAGATGAAATAGAATTAGAGTAGCAGTATCCAAAAATCTAAAAGCAGAAAATATCAAAATACACGGTGGATAAACTAACTTTGGAGTTTGAAAGATTAGAAGTGATTAATTCAGAGACAAGGACCGATCTGACCGCAGATCTGGTCAAACAATTAATAACAATTTAAATTTCGCAAGCAAAGGAACAAATCATAAGTTTGAAACGACAATTAGAATCCACATCTGATCAGGTTTCAGATTATCAGGCAGAAACAATAGAAGAGACAATCAAAGATGACACCACTTTAAAAATAATATAATCCCTATCAATTTTCAATGGTGGATTAAACCAACACGTAGGATGGAGGGAAGCTGCAGAAACTACGGTGGAACTATATAAAAGAGGAAGTAAGCAATATTATATTGCCCTGACAACTTTAAGGAACAAAATAACAGGACCAGCACATGACGCATTGACCATTCACGGGACAGTTTTAAATTTCGATGCCATACTTTCACGAATTGACTTTGTTTACAGTGACAAGAGACCAATATATATAATAGAACAGGAGCTATTCAGTGAATTCAGTGAATAACCATAATACTTTAAGATTCAACCAACGGCAACCAAGGACAAAGAGTTCACCATTCGACCAAAAAAAAGATTTCCAAAGGAATACTAATAGGGACAACCCTATTTCTTAGGTAATAGACAACAAAATCAGGCCCCAGAACCAATGGATGTAGACGAATCAATACAAATCCAGCACCGACAGAACAGCACTCAATACAGGGGAAATAATAATAATAATAATAATAATAGATATTATCGGGAAAATACTAATGGTTATTATCGGAGAAATAATAACAATTATAACCAAGCTCAGCAATTTAGAGCAAACGTAGTTCCGAATAATCAATCTAACGCAAATCCAGCGCAGAAACAAAAACCAAATGAAACGTCGGAGCAACCGACTAATAAACCAGTGCGGATAAATAACATTGAGGAGGACCATTTTTTAGATCAGCCCCCGAAGTAGGTCTGCCATACTTAAAAAGAGTAGATAACAAAATAAACAAAGAATTAAAAGTTTTTATAGATACGGGAGCAACTTCCTGTTATATAAAAAAGGGAATTTACGAAAATAAAAAAGAATTATCAATTTATAAGAAAGTTGCTACAGTAAATGGGTTTTCGATAATTAAATATTTCCATAATATAACTATTTTTAACACAAAACAAATGTTTTACGAAATAGATGGAATTTGTAATAACCTTTAATAACCTATTAAAGAAAATCGGAGCTGTTATTGATACAGGAAAGGGGACTTTAAGTTATAAAGACAATGAAGAGAAACTAATATATGATGAGGTTCTTTCTTTAAAGAAATTAACCTTTATAGAAGGAAAAACCATCCTTCCATTGAAGGAATATATAATAAAAAAATATTTCTGCAGATCCTGCACTTTAGGCATTTTACAGTTCTCTCTTTGCATGACGAAATCCAATACTCGGGATGGCGAAATCAATTGAAATGTTTATAGAAAAACTATTCACGAAAGGGATCGACGATGCAAAGATCAAAAAGTTCAAGTCAGTCTTGATCCAGAAGCGACACCGAAAAGTCGAACTAAAAACTAAGATCGCGCAAACCCTTTGTCCGGAATCCTTTGTGACCCTCAACTTAAATCTATATCTGTGAACCTAGAAGTTAAATAAAAACTTTTTAAAAACGGAATCCGCTACCGCAGTTATTTAATTGGTGCCCAACGTGGGGCGACGTTGTATAAAAAGCACCGAATAATAAAAGTGTTGCGTCGTGCCGAAACCCGAAGGACAATTAATTAATGGAATAAATCCTTCAAATATTAAAACGCGGAGTGACTGTGAGATATTAGATAAGAAAAAGTGAGATAAAAAGGAAACCAACCGGAGCTTAGGGTGTGCAAAAATAAATACAATATACAATACAAATACAAATACAATACAAAATACAAATAAATACAAAAGCTAATCAAGACAATTCAAAAATACAAAAAAAAAACCAAAAAAACCAAAGTTTTTAAACAAAACCAACCAAAACAAAACACAAAGAAAGTGAAACTATCAGCCAAACCATAGAAGGAAGACCCCCAGAAGACCCAGTTAAACAACGAAATTTAAGAAGGAAGACCCGTTCAAAGACCTGTCAGCCAAATCAAGAAGGAAGACCCGTTCGAAGATCTGTCAGCCAAACTAAGAACGACGACCCCTAGCGGATAGTTCGTGAGCAAAAGTTGTATTAATAAATATATAAGTTCAATTAGGTTATATTAGATTA